CAGTTGATGTATTTAGGGGGTAGTGTTTCTCTCTATCAGATAACACCCAGTTGATGTATTTAGGGGGTAGTGTTTCTCTCCATCAGATAACACCCAGTTGATGTATTTAGGGGGTAGTGTTTCTCTCTATCAGATAACACCCAGTTGATGTATTTAGGGGGTAGTGTTTCTCTCCATCAGATAACACCCAGTTGATGTATTTAGGGGGTAGTGTTTCTCTCTATCAGATAACACCCAGTTGATGTATTTAGGGGGTAGTGTTTCTCTCCATCAGATAACACCCAGTTGATGTATTTAGGGGGTAGTGTTTCTCTCTATCAGATAACACCCAGTTGATGTATTTAGGGGGTAGTGTTTCTCTCCATCAGATAACACCCAGTTGATGTATTTAGGGGGTAGTGTTTCTCTCTATCAGATAACACCCAGTTGATGTATTTAGGGGGTAGTGTTTCTCTCCATCAGATAACACCCAGTTGATGTATTTAGGGGGTAGTGTTTCTCTCTATCAGATAACACCCAGTTGATGTATTTAGGGGGTAGTGTTTCTCTCTATCAGATAACACCCAGTTGATGTATTTAGGGGGTAGTGTTTCTCTCCATCAGATAACATGACATTACTGACAGAATGATGATTTTGCTGTCTCCTTTTTTAATACATCCTGTAACTCGACACACATACCACACAAATTCAGTCAGACCTGGTGACATTACAATATCCTTATCAGATCAGTATCATACAGATTCAGTTAGACCTGGTGACATTACAATATCCTTATCAGATCAGTATCATACAGACCTGGTGACATTACAATATCCTTATCAGATCAGTATCATACAGACCTGGTGACATTACAATATCCTTATCAGATCAGTATCAGTCAGACCTGGTGACATTACAATATCCTTATCAGATCAGTATCATACAGATTCAGGGCAAGCTGTTCACTCTACATTTACAATCCTATAACCAGTTTCAGACAAAACAAGCCAAAACAAATGTTGCAGATCCGTCAACTTTACCTACTTAACACTGATCTGCTATCAACTTTACCTACTTAACGCTGATCTGCTATCAAACTTGATCAACTTTAACTTGACCTGTCCTCAAAGCCCCAACTTTACAATAAGTTACCAACTGTCCATAGATCTGTTCTCAGCTAAACCAACTGTCAATAGATCTGTTATCAGCTAAACCAACTGTCCATAGATCTGTTCTCAGCTAAACCAACTGTCCATAGATCTGTTATCAGCTAAACCAACTGTACCTAGATCGGTTATCAGCTAAACCAACTGTCCATAGATCTGTTATCAACTTAACCAACTGTCCATAGATATGTTCTCAGCTAAACCAACTGTCCATAGATCTGTTCTCAACTAAACCAACTGTACCTAGATCTGTTATCAACTAAACCAACTTTACAATACGTTATCAACTTTACATTTATCTATACTGATCACCAATACTCTAGTTCATCCCATACTACTGCAATATAAATGTGTTCAATATAGTGTCAACCCACTCTGACCGTGTCAAGACAATCTCCCCAGTGATCATCACTGATACAGGTTCTGCCCTACTGACTCGGCTGCTAGCTAGGTAAAGCTTGTCTCCCCACCAGTCAGGCATGACACATTAATGATGTTACAACACACGAGTTCACTATCATTTTCATCCATTATGGAAACTTTTTGTGGCCTGTTTTATTGCGAGCGTGGCTGCCACAGACAAGACAGACACAGGAACTCAATGTCACTTGTAATTTGCGGACATAATGGAGAGAAATTTTGACAGGAAACATTCAATATCAAACTTCAGAATTAAATGATTTTTTTGTGGTTATGACAGTCATATGTACAGAACATTGAATCAATACATTTAAGTCAGAGGTCGATACATGTTTCACTTTGTGGTCATAGAATTTGATGACAACTAATGTTTCACGTATGAGGAAAACCATACACATATAAATATGAATTATAAATATCCTTGCCTTACATCAGCAAATTTTTTATAGAGCTTCTCCGATAACTTTCTTCATGACACTCTTACTGACTTGCGTCACAGGTAACCTAAATAAGTCGGCTGATTTAAGTTCAAAATGTAATGAGAAGAGTAAAATTCTTCCTAAACTTACAACTGCTCTATATGAGTAACAAAGATGATGTTAAAATCAGAAATCTTGTGGGTTGAAAAAAAAAACCGAACAGGATCTCGAGATATTACATAATTTTCATTCCCTCAATCACAATAAACGTATATTTAACAAGATTCATGTGTTCATCATTGTTGAGTAGGTACTATCCCAGATTCAAATAGCATAAAAATATTTGAGTCGACTACAATTAAAACACAAGATAAACAACTGACGATATTAATTTTGCGGATTATCACTTTTACAAATACTTTGTTAGAAACATGGCAAAAATTGAGTATTTGCAAATATTAATTGATCAAAAGTACACATGAATCACAAATCCTCGGACATGAATCACAGAGACTGGAATGACAAAGAATTCTGCACCGGTCAGGCCTCGGCTAAGACATTCTCCGTCAATGTTCTACAGGGCATTATACTGACAATATCAAGATTGGGATACACAATAAAAGCAGGCCCTGCCACCAGAATGGAGCCATCACTAAGTGTGTGGTCAAAGGATTTAATCCTCGGCAAAATCCCATGTCCATCGATCACCGACTCGGATTTAGTCACCCTAATTCTATTAATGGTAGGCTCCGTCGTCAAGGAATGACACATTCTACAGCAGGGAGTAGGGATTGATCTTCTAGTAGAACCACAGCCCCTTTTTACCAGAAAATGGAAAATGACTGTCCCTAGCTAGCTAGCAGGTGCATTATTGATGGTTGACTAGACTTGATATCAAGAGGGAGTGTGCACAAAACTCAAGTATAGAGCCAAACTCTGGTATGTATCATAGTGTTTTGGCTTACTAAAAGAAAACACTAACATTTTAAGTCTGTTTGTATTATAAAAAAAAATCAGGAGTGAATGAGTTAAAAGTAATACACCCAAGGTTTTCATTCATATTCATTTTCTAATTCTTGATATAAGCATAGAAATCTAAAAGGACTCCATTAAAATGTCAAGGACTCCATTTGAACTACAGCATACAGATGGACCCAAAATACTCTGAAAATAGTTCTGTCCATTGAATACCAATGCACTTACACTATAAACAGATTATCATTATTCACAACAGGTTTCTAATTAAAGTAACCAACCACTAGCAAGCTATTTTCAACCTTTGATGCAGATAGGATAAACATTCAGTCGATGTAGAGCATAGTTCACCTAACTATACCTATTTACAGTAATAATACTGCAATATTTATCTTGTCTATATGCTATCAACCCTTTCACCAAAATAGACCATAATGGACTTGCCCAGATCAGTGCATGGTAGAGTTTATTAAAGGTACATAGGGGTGAAAGGGTTAACAATACGGGAGAGGGTCCCGAAGGTCAACACCTCCATCCTGTAACACCTGCGAGGGTCTCGAGGACACATTTAATCCTGCGTTTTGTATTAAGCTCAATGATAAGGTTTCTGAGGACAGAACCTTTTTCGTGCCTGTAACATCTTTGGTCTCGAGGAACAAATGTGATCCTATTTTCTGTATATATTTGATGGGAGGGTTTCTGAGGACAATATCTGTAACAACCCAAATTTGTTTAGGACAAACTTAATCCTGTTTCTTTCAGTATTTGCAACTGCAGAATTTCTGTTGACAATTCCTGCTTTATGTAACAACATTGGGTTCTTGTGTAAGACAAACATAAGTCAGTTTCCCGTAATAACTGTGATATTCATGAGGACAATGCCTGTAATGTAACGACAGTGAGTTCTTGTGTAAGATATAAACGAGTCAGTTTCCCGTAATAACTGTGATATTCATGAGGACAATACCTGTAATTTAACTACAATGGGTTCTTGTGTAAGATATATACGATTCAGTATCCTGTAATAACTCGGATATTCTTAAGGACAATGCCTGCTCCCTTCACAGCCAGCTCAGGTGTGTGGTCATCATTCTGAACGACAATCCATCACAAGTTAATTCCGTTATAACACTGTCGTGCAGTGGCCGGTCAGAGAGTGCACTCACACCTGTGTTAACGACTGTCCGTCACACGCAGTTACCACAGGTAAGTAAAGGTGCGACAGACAGGTAAACAGATGGCTTAACCCAAGTTTAAAAGGTACACCTTGACGTGAACAGACAGTGTAACATCACATACATGTACTGCTGGTCGTTATTGTCTGTTAGCTGGGGCCCACTATACATTTAACTAATTCACCCCTGAAATTTCATAATGAACTATTCCCACTTCTGAATTGGAAGAGTTCAAATGTGTCTTCAGGGGGGAATGAGTTAACTTGTGCTAAGGTTCACAGCTTTTAGCCAATTACATGAACCCTTGAGAAAAGATAATTGAATTTATAAAATGGTAGATTATTGATTATAAGGGAAATACTCCTTTCACAGAATTCTTTCAATTATTTCTGTAAATTCTCTCGATCCTTATATGCTAATTTGGTTTCAACTAAGATTCGTATCCAATATAGATATAAGAATGGGGATACAGGTTATTGTACACTGTGTAGGTTGTGTGTAGGCTGATTCAAACTGTTTTGTTTGAAAGGCCTTAAGTTGAACATTATTAACTGGTGGAATCACATATAAAATCATTGTCATATTTCTCACACATGTATGCTAGGTACTGTGTCATCTTGTTAGTCTTGACACTTTGATTACCAAAAAAATAGATCCAGAGACAAAAATCTCGCCTCTTTTTCATTTTGCAATAAATGCAGCTAATATTTCTGTTATTTAACAAGTTTGTTGATATTTTTCATTGCTAAACCAGTGTCTACAGTATTCTTAGCAGCAGAAAATGGAATGGGAAGCTTATAAGAACTAAAGGTATAATATATTAAATAGGTTACAAAATCAATCCAATCTGTACAAAAATATTTACCTGTTGTATAGGGCTTTGTGCTTGGAAGAGAATCCGTCGTCCTAGCAGCTCTGCAAATATACAGCCGACGGACCAGATGTCGACACCGGACCCGTAATGCTTGGCCCCCATGAGGATCTCCGGGGCCCGATAGTACTGGGTCACCACCTCCTGGGTCATGTGGATACACTCGTCCGGCTCCTCAATCCGCGCCAATCCAAAATCACAGATCTATACGACAAAACACATGCACCCTGTTATAGTCAAGCACTTTTATAACAATCTCGCTACTGATTTAACTCATACTTAAAAAGAGGCTCTAACATCATCAATTTGCAAAGAATTATCCCACACAAATAATTTTAAATTTTGACAGCAATTTATATACTAATTTTTTTTTAATTTTTTTTAAATTTGTTCTTAAAAAAAATGGACGTATTTTCTTCAAATTTTGTGGAAATAACGCTATGTTTTCCTAATTCAAAAGGTACATGGCCATGTGAAAAAAAATATTAAAAATATTGTTGTCCTTTATACTGTCCCATTGACTAACTGTAATGTAACCAGCATAGGAGTTCTATATGTCAGCACAGCAAATTGCTTTTTATGTATATAAATATACTGTACAAGATCGGAATCCCCACTCTAAAGCAATCTGACTGAAAGGACGACAAAAATACATCATTGATCGGGATACATGTTCAGCCTAAATATAGCTTCATTTCAGGATCTAAAGATCTACTCAAAAGCCGGGAGCTTGTAGAATATATATACTTACAACACACTTTACCCACATTCTCACAAAGTTCAGACTATTCATTTGAAATATCTGTAGACATAAATAACTGACATTACGACCCCGTCAATTTCTTGAAAACTGCATAATCCCCTTTCTGCGCTACAATTACAGGAGGAGGCCACTCCCTACATTTCCTCTTCACTTAATCAATAGCCCATTTTCAAGGTATTTACTTTAATTTTATCGAAAACAGGTTTTCCCCGGGTGAAATTTATAAATAAATTGAACTTTCCAATCATACAAGATAAGAACTGTGGATTTTTTTGCCTAAAATAAATGTTTTAAATTGTTATAAAAAAAAGATAGTTTAAAAGCATTTAAAGAAAAGATCCTACACTTTTTTTTCTAAAATAAGGTCAATGACAAAATTGTATGCCAATTCGAAATACTGGTAGACTGATTTAATGTGACAAAGTCAATAAGGATTTACCTCATTCACTCCTGAAATTTTGGCAGACATTAGGGGGTTTGGACTCCGAGGAGAACTCACCTTTAGTACACAGTTGCTGTTGACTAGTAGGTTTCCTGGTTTGATATCACGATGTAAAACTCTGGCGGAATGGAGGTATTTTAAGCCTGGCAAAAAATACACAAAATTCATCAATGATAAAATTTTGAATCAGGGAATCAAGTTTTGTTTCTTATGTAATTTCATCAAGAAAATCATAATTAATGTACATAATTTTAGCCCATTTGACATCGATCATACAAATTTGTAAATAGTAAGAAATAATAATGGTGCGTAAACCATATGATAATTGATAATAATTAATATAATTGTAAAAAGCCTTTGCCAGTGTCAACTAGGACCTATAATTATCTCAAGAGTACAAATGTTAAAGCAAGACTTCGACATGGTCGGAGGTGACTTACCTCTGAGTATTTGGTAGAGAAAGACTTCGACATGGTCAGAAGTGACTTACCTCTGAGAATTTGGAAGAGAAAGACTTTGACATGGTCGGAGGTGACTTACCTCTGAGTATTTGGTAGAGAAAGACTTTGACATGGTCGGAGGTGACTTACTTCTGAGAATTTGGTAGAGAAAGACTTTGACATGGTCGGAAGTGACTTACCTCTGAGAATTTGGTAGAGAAAGACTTTGACATGGTCGGAGGTGACTTCCCTCTGAGTATTTGGTAGAGAAAGACTTTGACATGGTCGGAAGTGAGGGGTTGTGGAGAAACAATGATCTTGTGCAGGTCACTCTGCATTAGCTCTGTTAGAACATAACTGATCAGTGGTCAAGGAATAAAGATTTTGATTTTTCAATCTTAGTTAGTATACACAAAATTAAATATTCTTGCATCTATGAATACTCCCTTTTCCAATAAATCATGGGAAGTAATCGGTTTGTTGGAGGTTTTTGTCTCAATTTTCTGCCTCGATCACAAATTCTGATGACATATGGAACAAATCTGGTTATCAAGTATAAGTGCATGGGCAAATCTTGACAAATTTTAAAAGGAAGACTAGGGGAATATGGTTTAATATTGATTTTTTTTTTAATTTGAAGAGTATACGACCATGTCTACAAATAAGTTTCAACATTCAGCTTTGACAGTTATACAAACAATAAAACAAACAGATTATTAAATATATTTACACTGTAAACATTTATATATAAAAGTGATTACTCCTGCCATAATACATTTTAATTACTACACAATTGTGAATTCACTTTCCTCTGAAATAAACATCCACAAGCTGCAACTAATTTCATCAATAAGTAGGTAAATAAAAAATAAAAAATAATGACTAGAGCGTATTTAGAATGAAATGAGTAATCAGTTCATAGATATCAACGAATAAAACTCAAGAATGACGCTTCGTCCTCTCTTACTGTTGCTATGGCAACAAAACTGCCATCTGGCTGCAGAATTTATCGCCCCTTCCTTCCATCTTCTACATTAGCTATTTGATTGAGTCGGTGGTCGTCACCCAAGGGTATGCTCTCAACATTTGTGACAAAATAAAAAAGCCCCAAATCAATATCAAAGAATATGCAAGTCAATTTACTACTTAGTTTGCAGGGTGACCATGTTTTGTGGTGGCAGACAGTCAACAATACTCCTCCCAGATTCACAAGACATCTGATATTTTTTCCGATATTTGTGATAAGAGTCATAACCACGCTAATGAGGATCTTGGGAGCTTTTAAACGAACATGAAAAATTGTAATCCATGCTGTTTTTCCCCAGGCATCATGGAATGTATTCATACATATATAATCAATGTTACACCGTGAGGTGGTCCTTGGATACTGCAAGTCTGTCCGTCAGCATGGCATAAAAGGTTTGTTTTGTCCTTTTACTGACCTTCAGGCCAAGTTTAAAAACTGCTACGTTACTGTAATATACATATTTTTCTTTGAAATAATTTCCCTTTTTTCCCTGCACTCTTAATTCCTTTTTTTTATACTTAATTTTACATTTAACCTTTTTTTCTCCAGATCTATTCAGCATCTTTGTAAAAAAAATATATGATTATAGATCTGACATTTCTATTCACGCAAGAACTAATCATTGAAATTATTGGACAGAAAACCAGTCTGTAAAACATAACATATGTCCCTGCTCCCACTCTGGTGAAAGGAAAGCCAGACAGTGACACTTAACAAAATTTAGCAAATGAAAAAATATAGGTCACAGTGACTTACATTTAGTAATAAAGCGTACTAATTCTCACTATGTACCAAAATAAAGCTTGACGACTGCTGGCCGGCAGACTTCTAGTATTTGATTAACCCATTCTTCCCAGAAGGCACATTTGAACTCTTCCAATTAAAAGATTGGAATAGTTTATTATGAAATTTAACCCTTTCACCACTGCAGACCAGAATGGACTCATCCAGATCAATGCATGGTAGAGTTTACTAAAGTTACATAGGGGTGAAAGGGTTAACGGGTGAATGATCATGTATGGACACATGGACAGAGAAAATAGCAACAAATTGAATGCCCCTTCACTAATGAGGAGACAGGGGACATGAAATTATTTACCTAACCTACATAATGCATATTCATTTACCTATCAATAATACTGAGGTAGACTTGGTCAAGGACACACAAACAATCATTATTAATCTCAGCATGGTTTAACCATTGCATGAAATTAGTCTGCAGTCTGTCTTCAGATATAAAGCCCATAGCCCGGCCATTAGGATATACACATCTACTGCACAAAGACTGGCAAAATCTTTCAGAACACTTTGACTACAAAAGGAACTGCAAGGTTGAGAAAAAACACAACAAAGGACTCGTTTGTTGAACAGAGAATTTAACACAGGCTTACAAAATCATTCACAAGTGAATCGGGTTTCCTCGAGGTGTACCAGAAGTAACTCAATAAACGATTTAGAATAAGACCCGGCTCTCAACCGAGAATACACACAAAACTGTCTCACATTTCACAGAGCAAGGAATAGGACTATATACAGAATAAGGTGATACAACAGTGATGGAAATAAAACCAAACGACGGGCAATAATATTTTATAACATATGATCAGCTTAACCCATTCACCTCTAAGTCACATTTGAACCTCACCAAATCCAAGACTGGGCAAGTCCATTAGAAAATGTAGGGTCGACTGAGTAAATACAAGGATTCAGCATACATAAACATACATGAACTTGTAAAATGGAGTTCGGGTTTAAATAGTTAGACCAACTCAGATTATAAATTCACTAACGACCTACAAAATCTTTGTTATTTTTAATGGTCTTCTGATGGTTAAAATCAGCACTTTATCATACAAACATGAAAATATAGAACATGATTATTATAACCTGGTACGTATTTCCAAATATTATATCTTCAAATAAATGATTGATTTTGATTAATCCTTGGTTTTGTCGCATAATCAAATACCAACAATATTGACAAAGGACACGAGACGAGATATAATCATGTTTTCACTTCATGATCTACACCTAATTTATATATATAATTGAATATTGCTTTCCTTTAAAATGCCGACCACTTGAATATTTGCAAATTTGCCTTGACCCAAAGACAAGAGTTTCCGCATTACATAGGTTTGTAGTCCACATACTTGAAACTGTCCTTAATGTATATAACAAACATTGAGTGATCTGACTGGGCATTCCAACACATTACTGTTACTCTAACTGTACATGTACTTAGTGAAAATGTCATTCTATTTATAGACGTAGAATTATAGATGTCAAACTTAGGTATTTAATCATGTGACAGAGACCGTGTCACGATTACAGTAAAATATTATAACCAAATAACTGCCCTTGTGACGAATGAATCAGGAATAATAATTGTAATCGGAGATGCTAATGCGCTAGTATTAAAAGCCTGCAGATATATTCCGTGATGCATCAAACCAAAATTGTTGTTCTTTTTCAAGCTTCCCCCATAGTGTTTGCAATGACCTTATACCTGCTTAGTGAACGGAGTACATCATATAACTGCCTGGGGGCTGGGGGGTTGGGTGCTATGTTAGCATATCATCAGCATACAGTACACAAAGTATCTGTAGGGACACCAGGTACTGATAGAGGTCAGCCCAGTACACATGTTCAGTCTAGACAGCGTTGGCTGAATGTACTACACCAGCCCAGCTTACAACAGTACTTTGTGTCTGAACTCATACAACCTGTACTACCAGCTCAACTTAGTACCTACACAATAACATGCCCCGGGTCAGCAGATAGAAGCACAGAGACAGGAAAGTAACTACACAATAACATGCCCCGGGTCAGCTGATAGAAGCACAGAGACAGGAAAGTACCTACACAATAAAATGCCCCGGGTCAGCAGATAGACGCACAGAGACAGGAAAGTACCTACACAATAAAATGCCCCGGGTCAGCAGATAGAAGCACAGAGACAGGAAAGTACCTACACAATAAAATGCCCCGGGTCAGCAGATAGAAGCACAGAGACAGGAAAGTAAGAATATTTACAGGAGAGAAAAGACAGACAAACATAAGAGCAGGAGAAAACCTGAAAAGGGAGTTGAGAAGTAGAGAGAGGACAGATATATAAGATCAAACATTGTACTGTATTACAAATATTTGGAACTAAGCAATTTCAATATTGATAAACTTGTGAAATTCATTTTGGGAATATTGAAGTCATCACTACCATAGATGTAGAAAGTACATATTGAAAACGAGGAAAACATCGCGACAACACGACACTAATTTACTTAATTCTGTGTTATCACTGCACGTGTCATGAAGCAATTACTGAACTATTCACAGAAAAGCTCTTTCAAATATTCTATGCTTCAAAAGGATGTGGGGATAGATTTAACACAAACATGGAAAGTACAACTTTGGTCTTAATCTATACCTAATAGCAGCGTGTGCTATGACTGATGACGTCTGGCTATAAACTATATATATATATATATACAACACATTTTCAATTTAATGCAATAATCAACAGATAGAATAAGGACAGCTGGTCTCTAAGTCTGCTTGCATTGGTGCATGTATGCTGGACCACATTCAATTAGGGACCCTCCCCCTTTTCAGGAGGAATTGAAATTAAATAGACCCCCTCTCCCTCTAAGTCCTGACCAAGTCTGGTCAATGATTTTATAATACTTACGCTTTACTTCATTTAAAAAAAAATGCCTTATGGTAATATATTTTGGGCGAAGTTTTTATAAATTAAAAATAAAAGGAATTAGGGTCATATTACAAATATTGCTTTCAGCACCATCACTTTGCAAGAAAAATAAAAAAGGAAAAAAAAAAATTTCCTGTATAAAAGATTGAACGAGGCGAGGAGGACTGCTGGTTGTCCGACACTTTATCCTTCTCAAGATAAGAACAGCCTTTGAACTAGGCTCACAGGGAACTACCCCATACAAACTGTCACGACCAATACCAACACACTTCCTTATTGACAAGTGTGAGCATGTTATAGACTCGACATCCTTGTTGTCTACACTACAGCAATGTACATGTACATGTAGCAAATTAGACATGAATCGCAAGGTAAAGTAACCTGTCCGCAACAATGTAGCAACACCTTAAGCTAAATATCTCAAACAAGCTCAGGTAAATTTGTAACAAAGCTTTTGTAAACTTATACTCCACCTAAACAAAGCCTTATATTGGACCCATAATGGCCTTGATTATTTTTTGAAAGGATACACTTCTTGGAAAAAGTCGATGTTTGGCGGCTGCAAGATGTCGAGAGCTGATAATACCTGAAACATAGAGAAAAAGAAGTCAGACTTGTGAACACAGCTAAACATAATAATTAGTTCCACACCAAGCTGTCATCCTGTAAATAATGTTACACCATTATTTCAATTTCATCATTTTAATCCTGTTTACAAATTTTCTTTTCGTATATGAAAACCCTTCATCAATGTTCCATTTTTTGGCAAGGTTGGACACTAGCCCTGTAATCGGAGACGAATATAGATTTCAGCATGGACAAGTGATTAACGTTACCCGACCTATAGTAGTCTCAGAGTAGTCTAGGATTAATTAATCAACATTTCACTGACAGGTTATAACTTATAAGTCAACTTTCTCTACAGCTTAAAATACAAGACTTTATGTAATGATTTTAAAAAATTCCCAAGAATTCACTATCGTTGCAACAGTTTGTTTTGCTATAGTATATCCTACAGCATTACTTCTACAAGATATTTTTTAATACCTGTAGCTAGTTCAAACAGGATAACTCATGCTACCTTGCTAGCTGTTGTACTTGGAACTCAAGCTAACCAGACGGCTGGGTGTTCTATTGCCAATCAATTACTGCCAGCTCAAGCTAACCATACTTAGATGCTGACATATGATACAGCAGCTGTATAGCTGGCCTGGATGTTTAGTATATGGGTAGATTTTTCCCTAAAATCAATAGACAGTACACTGGAGACTGGCTCACACACCAGCCACACAGCCGACACCGGCAATCCCACTTCTCCATCTCTCACAAAACCCGTTCAATACAACACAACTCTTTTCCATCAATGTTGGTTTTAAACGCTTAATTCATCGATTCTGACTTTCTCAAACAATTTTACACAAGGAAACAAAGTTTTTTATATACTGGAAATTTTATGACATGATATTTTGTTAACAATTTTTAAATGTTATTTTTTTATGAATTTCATTACTATTAATTATAATATGATCAATTCAAAAAAATAACACAAGATTATTCCAAAGATGGATATAAAGGCAGAATTGTTTTATAATTTGCATTTTTGAACAGAAATCTCATTACTATTGATACAAGTTATGGGAAAATTTTAAATCAAGACAAACTAACAATGTTATTGCTATGCAAATCGTTTCAGCATTTTTTCAAATCCATTGAACATTGCAATGGACTGTTTGTTAAAAATCATAAACCTGTACTACCTGGATTTGATGTGTTTTACGTCAATAGATGCATTGGAGCGTGATTTGTGGTGAACAACCTAAAGGGAAAGTTATGCTAAAGCTTGTCAACCCACTGTTTAATTCCCCCTCTAGTCGGTGACTTAGTGGCTCGTAGGGTGGAGGGGTGAATCACGACGCATTCCCAACATAGCCGACATTCCTGGGGTGGATCTACCTAGGCCAGATATAACGAGTATCAAACACCCCCAGAACAAAACCTTCACATCATTTACTTAGGTGTCGAGCCAACACAAAAATTATAACAATTTCTAACCAGGCCTGGTCATGCTGGAAAATAATTCTGGTCTGGAAGTAAGCTTTGGTTGAGGATAAAGTGGAGATTTTAAGAGGTTGAAGGAAAGGGAGGGGATAACATCAATATATAGGTACACGTACTCAATACACTACATACTTGCAGCAAATTATGTATCGAACCAACTCAACAAGTCAGTGTTGGGGATCGCGTGGAAACCAGGCTGGTGTTGGTGATGAGGTGATAATCATTTATTTAGTGGGTTTAAAGTTTTTTAGGCGTTTAATAAATTCACCTGCTGAATAAGTTGATAAACTTTCAAATCAAAACAAAATATAATTTACACTTAAAATATCATATATTATTGACACAAAATATAGCATCTATAATAAAGTGCAATAGCACTTTTTCTTGCCCTTATCACTAGAGCAGGAAAACAGTTACCTGGAAAATTGGCCTGCAGGGAAAACTTTGACAAGTACTAATTAATAAGTGAAACGCCACCTGCAATTGGCATGTTTGTTGTTTATAGTGTTAATTGGCACCCCAGGAGACCAGATACACAGAATACAGCTCTATCTATTTATTATAAACACTGGTAGATTTAGGGGGAGGGGGGAGTTCACATGACATTAAGCTACAAAAGTAATCAAAGCTTGTTAACTGCAGAGATTAAAGGTCAACCCTTTTGGTGGCAGAGATCTGTACCCTGTTAGGGAGTGCATCAAGATCTATAGAGACAGGTATGGACATAGCATCGTTATCACACCTGACACCTGTACACAAGTACCCACATAGGTAAGCCAGCTAGTGGTCTCCTGGAGACTACACTTGTAGAAAGGTGGGAGGGGGACATCTGTACAGGTGTATCAAATACCTGGGGAAGTCTGTCAGGTGTAACTATCACATTGACACACCTGGGTAGTAGAGGTGGAAGTGGGGTGGGTGGAGGGGTCTATGTAGCACCATGTGTACATCATATTTAATTACAATTACACCTGAGGACCTTATGACACCATGAAAGTCTATATCTAGGTCATTTGAGGGGAGGAAGTGAAGTGGGAGACAAATATAGGGCAAATAAAACAGTTTTGTTTGACATTCTGATTTATTACAGACATATATACATGTATGCAGGTTTTCTTTGAAGCCTTTTTGACAAACAATTACAAGGCCATATCAAAATATGAACACACCCACTATGTTTAGATACTTAACCAGCACAAAGCCTGCTGGACAATTAGATTAGAGTGACTACTCAGTATACATTGGCATGCGTGTATAAATACCTAGATAACAGGACACGCCCCGGTCTACCTGTGGACACACCCAACACTACCTTATATGGACAGGGCTGGGTGGCCCTTTGTGAGTATCACAATCATGACAAGAGATTGCCTGCCTGATCCGGTTGCAAATAAAATTCAATTGATCAGTATAGAACAGTGTTCCCAACTGGGCAAATTTACATTAAAATATAATGAATCGATAAGGAATGATTTGACAATTTAAAACCGATCAGAAACAAACTTGTTTTATTTTCTAACAAATATTTGATACATATATATTTTTTATAGACAATGAAAGTATGTGTTAATTTAAAGAAATCAACAACATGCCTTGGTTTTCTTTCTACATCATAAACAAGGAAAGATCACGTTGTTTTCAGGGGAACCAAACAAGTTAAGCACATTCTTGGTCTGGGCTCTCGACGTTACACTTAAGGCTACACCAATGCAACCTACTTGCCAAACAGGATTTATATACCACCTGTAAAGGTCAGCCAGGTTAACTAAGAATACTCGCTGACCCAGGGGACCAAGCCAGTCTACTGATAAAGTCAAGTTAAATATACACCCCTTTTACGACCATAGCTCACATTATAATATTTTTTCTCTATGTATCTAATCACATTTTCTTCTCTGAAATGAAAAAACTGACTTGTAATGTGTCTGGCAGTTTTTTTATAAGGCCAAAAGAAAAGCAAAATCTGTTTCCCATTTTCCATTTTTTTTGTTCTGACCCTTAAGGCATTTATTTGTGTCCCTTTTATTATGATATGGAATTGTGTTCTGAGTGAGTGAGTGTGAATTAAGCATTAATCCTTTTTTGTTAGTAACGTGCAATTTGTGAATATTTGTTTAAGGAATTTTGTAAGAAACACATGTTATTTAACATGGTTCAAGGGTTACTTAATCCCATTCAGAGATCAGTACATTTGAGGTCATGTACCAGCATGTCAAACAGGACCTTTTAAGTTTTCTACCTCTGTGATATGCATAAAGAGACATCACTCATTTCAAACCCCCATTCAAAATCAATTTTGGAGGATGGCGGATACATGTTGGTTGAATAATTCAATATAGAGACTCTTTTTATTCATCAACTTATAGTTATAGAATGCCTGAGGGACATATGAATACACAACAAATTGATTTTTTAACTTCGATCCGATATCATTCGTGGGGAGAAGAATATTGCACAGCATCTATTGCTACAATGGATGAATTATTGATGTAATTCTAACTCTTAGAATGAGTCGCACGTCAGTGACAACTGTTAAGGTTACCAATGAGAAAAATCCTAATAAATATGCGATACACATATCAAATCAAATCATTTGATACGTGTGTCACTATTAAGGTCTTTTATGGAATTGTTTATTAGGCCAAACAAACATAATGGTGTGTTGCAGTCAATGAAGTCAATGAAGTACAAGTTACAAAGTTTATCAGATCAACATTTGTATCGACGTTGTTCATAGGAATTGGAAACCTGAAACAAACCCTTTCGTTTGGTTTAGCCTGAGGAGAATGATACACAGCTGTAATATTGTGGATCACATGTAACTTTACTTCCAATGTGTTTCCTCATGCATGAAAATCATCACCACATTTATGAATTAACAATTCATTGTAATGACATTATGGATATAGACACCAATGTTGGGGCAAGTATTTACAAAACCCCCCTCCAACCAGCCACTCCATTCTTCCAATAAGCGAATCGAAAATGTCAAAAAAGATAAAATATTAAAATCTTCTTCTTAAACAATACAAAACTCAACAAGCAGGGTTGTACAATTACATCAGCTTGCATGCAGGGCTTGTAGTTTTTACGTTTAGGCAAGAAAACATTTTCATTATTTAATATTAACTCATTCACTGTCAAACCTGAAATTTCATAATGAACTTTTCCAACCTTTGTCCAATTGGAGGAGTTCAAAAGTGTCTTCTGGGGTGAATGAGTTAACGTATAGCTTCATCCAATAGAATTTTGCAAAATTTGCCTTTCGGGTTAGTGCTTGATCGGTTTATGAAATTTGTCCACCCCACCCCAACCCACCCCACTCCACAAAATAGAATGCTGTGAAAAATGTCCAGACTTGGAAACTTACGTTGTCGTGTTTGAAGTGACACAGCATTTTCAGCTCCCTGTAAACCCGTTTGCAGGACACCAGGTTCTGGAAGACGCAAGGCATTTTCTTCAGCGCCACCCTCTTTCCATCTCGTGGGTCCGTTACTGACCTACAATAACAGAAGGAATCAATGAAACAGAATTTTTTCTAGGATTTCAGAGTAACATAATAATTTAACGTTTTACAGCAAGGTGTCTTTGACTATTTCCAATGATGTGCATGTTTTAATGATACAATGCAAGTTAAATTAAAAACATTTACATTAAAGTTTTTTGCTTTTGTTGGGAAATTATTTGTAAACAATACATTTTTGATCCATATTGTTTAATGTGTATCTACAACCACACATGACATACAGCTGTCCAAGGTATCAATTTCTATGAGACTGTATATATATATATCAAACTAGAAATCTCTGATCACGATGTTAAAAATAAAAATTCACCTTCCCTACAAATCCAAGTTTTTAAATGTCTACTCTTCTGAACTTTTTTCTTTATATGGATCCAGAGATAATCCTGGAGGGGGCCATGGACCCCTTAAAACTGAAATTGATCCCTCCATGTTTCAATTTTCTAGTAATGTTACATAGAATGGCCCCTGATAATTTTGATATTGACTAAAAACTGCTGAAATGGCCCAAGGCTCCCAAATTCCAGGATTTCCCCGTGGCTCAAGTCTAAAACTCTATATCATTAAAATATTTTGAAAAATAAGAAGTTTTATCTACATCTAGTTATCAAAATTGTTTTGGGAGCTGAAAGTGGGAAAAACAGCAATCTTGCAGCCTAAACTTAACTAATATTTTCCCTACCTGGTTAAAATATTTAGTTCAAGTGTACTCAATGTAGCTTTATAGCTGAATATTAATTTCTAATAAAGAAATTGCATTGTAAGAGTGTCCGATAGGATTTTATAAATTCTAGCTGCGGGCTATACAATGTATATGTATGCATGACAAAAACCAATTCAACGACTATGATGCACTAGCATTTTGCAGGTACATATCAATACACATGCACAGATGTACTACCATATGAAACACGAGCGCTATATTTACACTCCAGTGTACATATACAGAACGCTGTATTAATATGTCCCTAGAAATAGCTAACTTGCCATGATTATTGGCAGAAATGTGATCTTGGTGATATTTTATGCATGCTAAGTACTTCTATTTATAGTCGGAGCCTCCGGGAGATGTGCTGTGTTCAGTATAGAAGATAAATGCCACGGATTAGCCAGCAAACTCGACACAAGATGCACACTGTTCGTTATTTCAGCAATCCTAGCAAAACTTCTCTCCCAGTGATCTTTTACCAACAACTTCCAGCTTCTAAATTTGCTTGTTTGGCGCAGATTTATATTGGTGTAAATTACTTTAGTGTTTCTGTTATTTATAAATTTGTATATTGATAGATAACACCATCAAGAAAATTATATTTGAAGGATTTTTCATCATACCAGGCCGCAATTTAGTGGTTATGTCTTTCCATTCAAAAGCATTATTGGAAATCAGACAGACTGTTTCTGGACCAGCAGTGCTTTGAAATGGAAGGATTTTCAGAGAAGAAATGTCTGTGAAACTTCAGCGAAATTCACTGTAACAATGTGCAAAAGTGTATGTCGCATACTTTATCCCCTACAAAGACAGGTGTACCTGTACCATCAATATTTTGTTAAGGAAATTAACACAAGAGGAATAAGGACAAGTTTAGTATGACAAAATTTCACGTCGAGCAATTCAAGAAATGTTTTGTTAATAACCCATTCGTCAATATCTTTCTCCCATCATATATGCATCTCGATAAAATAAAATATAGTGTTACAGTCGCTGGGGTCTTGTTGCAATCTTACTATCGTGTATCATGCATGAAGATTGCTTGGAATCCCAAACATTTGATACATCTGCCTGGACATCTCGGCAAAGCAAAGTGTAAACGACTTTCAGTTCACTTTTGCATTATATACTGCTAAAAGTGACGGGAGATTTTGGGTATTTCCAAGTAATGTAGGAGACATGCTTGAGTGTAGTTTATCTCAAGATACGTCCAATTTTAAACATTTAGAAAAGAAAAAAATATTCATAGAAAACATGCACAGACAGAAATGTCGTCCTGCGCAATCTGTACATCAATTTGCATTTTAAAGTTTGACATGCAGGGGATAATGAGAACAAAACTTGTCGATACAGGCTGATTGAGATAAGTCCTTTGTATCAATGTTAGAGTAGCCTATATCTAGCATGTGTACTCTGTAATGAGAAGTTCACTGCTCGATATGGCGGTTCACCTCCTTAACACCAGAACACAGTTCCCAGACTGTCAGTCAGCAGTTCAAGTTCTGGTAATCATCAGTTGACATATATATGTACATAAATCGGGGACTTTTCCTAGGTGATACACGTAGGTTTGGTTTGTTCATATAGCCTTTAATATGTATTATAGGGAACTGTTCATATAGCATATAATATATATTATAGGGAACTGTTCATATAGCCTATAATATATATTATAGGCTATATGAACAGTTCCCTATAATATATATTATATGCTATATGAACAGTTCTCTATAATATATATTATATGCTATATGAACAGTTCACTATAATATATATTATATGCTATATGAACAGTTCTCTATAATATATATTATATGCTATATGGACAGTTCCCTATAATATATATTATAGGGAACAGTTCATATAGTATTTAATATATATTATAGGGAACTGTTCATATAGCCTATAATATATATTATAGGGAACTGTCCATATAGCATATAATATATATTATAGGGAACTGTACATCTTTTTTCTTTATCATCATGTTTCACTCCTTTATATATAGCGAAGGCTTCAATTAATTTTTCCGTAATTTTTTCAAAATGTATATATATATATATTCAACTCCAGATTAATTTTAGATGCAGGTCACAAATTCAGATCTAAGCTTAAAATGAATGTCAACAGATTAATTTTGAATGCAGGTCAAAAACTCAAATGAAAGTCAACGGATCAATTCGTCCGATCCCCCACCCACCTGTTTCACCGGAACATACATTCAATGTACGCATATATATTGTACCTGTATCACACGGAATCGAGCGAGTGCCCTTACATTTCATTACTCACAGATAAACATGTCGATTATCTACTTCTACATGGGCTTAAAGATAAACTTGAAGTTTCTAGACTACCAACAGACTGTTCATCGTCTACACCAGGTAGTTCAAACCTATTACACATTCTATCATCAGAAAGACTGGGCAATTCATCATTGTCTTATCACAAGTCAGCACCACAAACTTCAGTCTTTTGTTGTCGGTGATAATTGGCAACAGGAACTTTTTTTCTCTTTGTTGTAACTTTTTTCCACTTCGTTAGGAGGTGTTCTACAGACAGCACATCATGAGTTTATAGATAATGTCTCGGTTCATCAAGAATATTGCCCTCCACTGACCATTCGGCATGAAGTACAGAAAACAGATGTCGAGGAGAGTATGAATGACACTGATTTCATAGAGAAAAAATAGGACTGTGCATACATCTTGTACATAGACAGCATTTGTCTGCGACCACTGTCAAGCCCTAGTCATTTAAGCTAAATTCATCCCTGAAATTTTAAAATTAACCATTCCAACCTCTGAACTTGAAGAGTTCAAATTAAATGTGTCTTCAGGGGTGAATAAGTTGAACAGATTTTACAAACATTTGTTATATCCTCAAATTCGAACATACGAAAATTGATGCCTATTTCTTGACAACAAGCTATGCGTGCACTAAACTGGATCTGTGCTCTGGTAGTCACAATGTGAAACTGTTTTTTTAATCAATGCCTCCTTCCCTTCCCCAATATATTTTTAGAAGATATCCTTAATATATATATATACATAGTTGGTGACCCGAGGCCATGAAAACAGATTCAAATAAATTGGCTTCAGCTATTTAAACTTAGCTCACCCTATAAAAAGTAAGTATGACCCCAAAATAATCTTTCTTCTGGGTAAAATATCTATGATAATACTTGTATTGACGTGTTTATAGTGATCAGCTAATCTCTGATGACCGTAGCCCTACCCATTCATATCAAGGGAATTAAATCTCTTTTGGTAACTTTAAAGACAGCTTAGGTCTTCTTCCTATGATCCACCACAGGACGTATTTAACTGGAACATGTCGACATTTTAATCTAGGTCAGGATAAATATGTGTGCTTTCCCCATACAGAAGAGTCAATACTATACAGAAATTAGGCAAATTTACTTAAATGTTTTTACTTTTGATATATTTTATACAAAACCCTTGATGTCATTACTACACTATTTTAACCTCTCTCCGACCATGGTGATGTTTCTGCCATCATTAATGGTTTTATTGACATGTTTATTGAATGTTGATGAAAAATAGTATAGAACATGTTTTGATCATGAATACAGAACTTGTCAATATCAAGCTAGCTACTAATGGAGCTAACTATTTCTGACCCAGTATTATTATAATCCATGATACTATTTAACTGGGGTTTATTTGATATTAACCTGAATATCATTCAACCAGAATCAGATTGACAACTGAACTATAAGTCCATCTTCTATGAAATTAGCAACATTAACTGGGAATATTATCTGTAGCCTTGCCTGTTGTTTAGTCATTAGCGGTTGTTTTGTAAAAAAAATGAAAAAAAAATGATGATAGGCCTACCATTCACAATAAAATTTCTCGCTAATATATGACTAAGTATTTGTCTGTATTTCAAGTTGGAGTATAAGAAAGATACACAATATCGGATATTATAATAAGTGGGTTCAACTGTAGTATGACAATTCAATATGCAACGAAACGTGCTATCAATGACCTGAACAATAAACAAAGGCCAATATTTAAAATGTTAACACCTCGACCGAATTCATTATAAAGATGGTATTAATTTGAACATTTATTTGTTATTATAATTCATATTGGTGTGTTTTAATTTGGTGGAGTTTGTGTGTTTCCAGTATTGCTAGGTAGTTCTACGGTTCACGTCAGTGCTGTCAGCGCCTCAGGCCTGATCAGCTGATCCAAACGACACAAAGAAACACAAAGCACACGTCTCTCATTTTCACTGTTATTTCAGTAAAAACAAAATTCAGGTAAAATTAAACATTGAAAATGGAAGGTCCGATATACATTAATGATTGTGTGGCCATGGTTTAGCTAAGTTTGCTTTAGTTTTGTTACTAGCACCGAACGAAAGTGAAATTTCTCCCATCGTGTTCCTGTCGCGACAGACGACAGAACAATGGCTCGCAGGTCGAGTTTACTTACCAGACAACTCCAAATGCACCGTATCCTATGGGTCTGTCCGGCTGGACATCTTGTGGGGGCACAACCTGGTAATAGGGTACCGCCACAGCAGCCGTCAGGATAGCATGTTGGGAGTGGGGAGGTAAATTGGGAGGGGGCATTATAATGTGTCGAGCGTGTCTTTGCCCGACCACCGCCATAACCAACCCACGAAATCCAGCAAGGTGCCTGCACGAAAATCGTTTGGAATGTACTTCTTAATCTCTCCACATGTCCCCTTTTGCACACACAGTACCGCTATGACCTCTCCATCCACATCGGAGAGTATTTTGGTAAAATTCCGTTTATATATTTGAATACATAGATGAATTCGGAGAGATACAAGGCTGTCTGACTCACACGCTTGCGAGTCGACACACAAAGAAGTCACGTGACAACGCCTGTACGTTTCCCAAGATGCCAAGTCAAGGGTCAAAGGTCACACTTGTGCTATTTTCAGAAAATAATATTTTTAAAATATCAATGTTAAGTTAGCATTGCCTTTTGTCATTAAATAACTTGACTAGAGAAAATCATATTTGTCAATTATGACTTACTATTCGGTTGTAACATCGTCCGAAATGTATCTGAGGTAAATAAAATACAGCATGTTTACATAAACAAAGAAGCACATGGCTAAAGACCACGCCCCCTTTTTGACAGAGAATAACCGGAAGTATTAGCATATTTGTGTACGTATTATACACAAAGAAAGGAGGAAATGTGTCAGGATAGGATGAACAATAAGCAGGTCTACGTCATCAGGATAGGATAGGTTACTCGGCTCCTGTCACTCAGGTTAAATAAACATAAACATCACTTAGAACTGTCAACGTAAGCCGAAATAAATAGAGAGAAAATCATTGGCAAATTGATTTTCTCTGTTCTGGGTTACAGTATGGTATTTTAAAACTTCTGATCGGGGTAATTTCTTCGTCGGGGTCATTTCAGCGATATTTCGTTAAAAATATGATTAGATTGACTTGAGAGAACTGTTAAACAGGTTATCTTTTATGCCAAGAAGGTCTGGTGAATCTATAAAGAAGAATTGCAATAAGCGTCAGTTATTGTTTTTTTTCGTGTTATATTTATTGACCAGTTTTGTACAAGGATATTGATCAACCCAATCAACTGTCTTTCGTAAAAAGAAAAAGTTTGAAAAAAATAAGTATACATGAATCAAAGATATCAAAAGACAAATTTTGGTATTATCAAAATAAAAATAAAAATTATTACGTCAAACAAGTTAAAATAATATATATACAAGAGCAAAAATAAACAAACCTTAAAATACTATTTAATGCAACCACAATATATTGAAGTGCTGCTGTTTGTAACACTGACACATTTATCAGCTGAAGTGGTTAATGCCAAAAGTTTGAATATTTTTAAAAATAGGTTAAACGTGCACTGGAAAGATCATGCACACAAATTGTATCCGTCGTTTTAATCTACGATGTGTAAATATTAATTAATACTATCGCGACAATTAGACTTCACTAGTTGTCTAGATACATTTAATTTCATACAATGTATGCCATTCTTCGCGCACTCCATCATCAACCAATCAATTAACGAAATGCAGATTTATAACATCACTACAAACCACAGGCTTTCTGTTGATGTCTTACCTATGAGATACCTATGAGATACATCAAAGTATTTGCACGGAATAAATACGTTAAAACAATATTTGGCATTAAATGAAAAAAAAGATACACGCACACAAATAAAAACACGCACAATTACGAGGACTAAACATTAGAGGTAAATTACCAGCTATAACTAAGAGTTTCGCTCGACTATTCGTCGATTCCAAAACATTATAGTGTAGGTTACGTCCGCAGTGGAGAGAAAAAATACGGAAATCATTACAAGGAAACACGAGTTAGCTCCCTTGGTCCGATGGGAAATGATATAAGGCAAAGTAGGCCTAATCACGAGAAAAACCTGTTCGAATCTTTCCCCAGTAAATAGTAATATAAGATATCACTGTTTTATCAACATACAAACAAGTTGATGCATTATAACAAGAATTAAATTATTATTTGAAAGTAAGCTTAAATTCACTTCCCCGTGATGTTCTCAATATCGAGCATAGCGATCCGTAGTACTAAGTAGTAGCAATATAGTGAATAGACCGACAAAAAGCAACAGCTGCNGCTTGTGTAAAAAATATATTATCTATGCGACTTTGGGTTCTCATAAACAGCTGCATGAAGCCTATCAATATCAAAGTATTACTCTACAATTGATATTTAATTAAACAATTCCTTCTAGAGTTCCTCGTTAGGAATTAAAATTGCGAATTGATTTAAATTAAAAACAGTCCCATCCTTTTCTATATATACAGCATAATGTTATTAGCTTAAAACAAAATTATTCTGATGTAAATTCGGAAAATACTCGGGTCTTTCCTTCAATCTCAATAGAAACCATGACATGACGTAAATACAGAATTAAGGAACAGAAATATGACGTCACGGGAACCATTTAACGTGACGTCATAATGGATTTTCTCGTCTGCTTAAACGTGTCCCAATGTATGAATTACAACCAAATATGTTTAAAACAAAATAAATTCCTCCTTTTTCCCGGGCCACACTTCCACTTCAAGTACCTTTAAAAACACTATCAGAAAAAATCGTTTTCATGAGTGTTGCTAGTAGTAATCTCTGATGTATAACCGTACAATTCAAATCAATAACAAGATCGAGGTATTCACCTCACATTCGAAGTGAATACCTCGATCTTGTTATTGATTTGAATTGTACGGTTATACATCAGAGATTACTACTGTGAGGTGAATGTTTATCAGAATATATGGTGGGATGAGTATTTGTGTATGGTTGTCAATATCTATTTTTATATATATAAGAACATATATATATTAATGGTAGCATGTGGCTGATGTATTGATGATTATTGAGGATGCATCTGTTGATGATGATGATGATGATGATAGATTGATAGATTGATAGAATGATGATGATGATAGGATGATGTTTCTGATGATGATAGATTGATAGACTGATGATGTTGACGATGATGATAGATTGATAGAATGATGATGATGGATTGATAGAATGATGATGGATTTGATGGATTGATAGAATGATGATGATGATGATGATGATAGATTGATAGAATGATGATGATGGATTGATAGTATGATGATGTTGATGATGTTGGTGATGATGATAGGATGATGATGATGATGATGATGATGATGATGATGATGATGATGATGATGATAGAATAATGATGATGATGATGATGATGATGATGATGGATTAATAGAATGTTGATGATGATGATGCTAGGATGATGATAGATTGGTGATGATGTTGTTGATGATGATGATGTATTAAGATGATAATGGTGTATTACTATTGATGATGATTGACAAGGCTGATGATGATATTCAGTCACGATGAGGATGATGATGATGAAAGATATGACGATGCAAGAGACAAACCATGCAAATGGGAATTGTATGTATGTGGGTGTATGTGGTGTTTATGTATTTATGTAATAAAAATGTCTTTAAAAATAAACAAATTATAAAAAAAAAAGATCGAGGTATTAATTCTCACTTTGACATAATTTTCGTAAAATTACCTAAAACGATTAGACAACAACAAAGTGATGACGTCGTATGTTCCGCAATGTGTTGTGTTCTTTGAACAATAAATGTTTTTTTTATAGGAAATTAATCAATATTCTTCTTTTAAGAACTAAAATGTGTTGTCTGTCTTTTAAATTATTTTATAAGGGATACCTATGCTTATTACGTTATATAACGAACAAAAACCTGTGTGCGCGCACTTTTTGATTTCTACTTTTCTACGCCAGCAATTGAGACTGACATTAATTACTGTTACGTCACATTAATTTTAACAACAGTAAAAAGCTGTCAATTTCCAAATATCGGTTTTCGTATATGTAGAAAGAGACTTTATATCAGCAAATATATGTTTCGTTCCATTACAAAATTCCAGAATGTTTAAAATGTGTATTTCCACGAATCACAAAGTCTGTTCAACAACAGTATCACACAGCATTTATCAGTAATTGTATTTGTCTGAATATTTAATTGTTCAATATCGGGATTTATACAGTAATCTATTTATGCAGCTATAATATTTTTTTAAACACTGAACGCTTAAGATTATTAAATACAAACAAAAGGAACTCTCCACGGTGGCCGCAAATGCTTCTCTGGCAATTTCAAGTAGGTTCTTTGATCGTCAAACTCATTATCAGAACATCTGATTTATTCATTTATTATAGAATGTATTAATAGTTTTTGTGTATTCCAATAACGGTTTTGTTTGATTGTAAATTATTTTTCATTTTTTTCTTTCCCCATTTAATTTTGATTAAAATCGGAAGTTTACAAACTGTGTTTACCGATATAAGACTTGATGTGTCCTTGGCGCTTAGGCAGTGGAAAACAAATGGCGAGGTGTGACAGACTACGAAAAACACTGGACCAGGTATGAAATACACCACTGCGTTTTTTACTGGTTCATTTTGTGCAAGATTGCCCATTTATGCGTGTATCTTAATGAGTTATAAATGTCTCTCTCTCTCTCTCTCTCTCTCTCTCTCTCTGTATCCCCCTTTCTATCTTTCTCTGTCTGTCTGTCCCCCTCCCCTCTCTCTCTCTCTTTTCAATTAAAGCCAATGTAAATATATATGATATATGGCATCTTGAAAATTTGTATTAATATATTGTAGGGAAATGGCTTAATATCAGTTGTTAGACGTGTGCCAAACTCCCATTGTATGAATTACAATCAAATATGTTTAAAACAAAATAAATTCCTCCTTTTTCCCGGCGAACTTCCGGTAGTTTTTGCATGATGCAACATTACAATCCTTGTGAAACTTACCGACTTTTTGTAGTGGTTCTCTTGTAATTTTTTCTTTAATTTAACTATTTTTTGAATTTTAGAAAAACACAACTTACGACAATGGTTGTCGATTCTTTCTGAGCAGACGACCACGGGCCACCGCATGGACAGTTTTGCGCATGCGTGTTTAATTTCGATCAATACTTGTCTGTCTCGTGGGCGGGGACATGCACGTGGGTCCAGCTTTGATTGGCTGGCAATGTGAATCTATGATTTTGATTGACAGTGAGAGACGACAAGCACGTGCTGATGTTCCGGTTGATATTGTCTATACCATAGGAGAAATGAGACATTATCATATTTATTACATCTTAGGGGGGGGGGGGGGGGGGAAATGTATGTACGGTACTGATTGATTGATTGAATGATTGATAGGTTTTACGTCCCCTTCACGGTTTGGTTCGGTTATCCGGCAGACGATGTACGGTACGTTTTATAGTGTAGCGAATTTTGGTGAGAGTTATCTCCCTTTGACCACTAACCGCGCCGACAACATCGATGAAACATCTCGATGCGGTCTCTTTACATCCTGACATCGTTCTGATAATACGTTCAGTGAATTACCTCCACCTTCAAACCGATATTGGGACCTGAGAACAGTTACCTACTACATGTAGTGACGGTGTGCGACAACACGCACCGCATTTACTACAATAGTGAAGTTTAAAGTCTTACGGATTTTGTGTGAATTATATATCTGGTTAAAAAATTCTCTATTTCATAAGCAACAGCAAGTTTTCTTAAATAATTCTTATTCTCAATAAGGTTTGAACGGAGCAGTGGTTCCTCACGGTTCCCGTCTTGGGTTGCTTTCGTTTTTGGAAATACATTAGTGATATTGTCGATGTCTTGTTTTGTTTTTATTGCAGATTCTTCATCATGTCTTGAAATTCAAACAATTTTGAATAGGTATCTAGATTCTTTTTAAACTTACTGTGTAAAACTTGGTTGGTAACATTTAATCCAGACAAAATTGAGGAAATATTTATTTTTAATTCTTTCGACAAAGTGGAAGATTTTTGTTTTAAGTTAATGACATTCATAGTTCTGTTAGGAAGAAAATTAGCGTCTTACGAAGATTGACATATTTGGTAAATAGAAGTAGTCTTTCAACAATGCATAATTAATGTATTCCCTCTACCAGTTTTAAAGTATGCGTGTGAATTACGGGATTGTTGTACAAAATAATTTGAATCAGAAAAGTTAGAGAAAGCCCAAAGAGAACTGCTCGTATTATAACAGTCCTTCCTTCATATGCCGGTATCGAAATTTACATTTTGAAACAGGTTAAGAAACTCTTTCAAACCGCCGAAAACGTAGAAAACATCAACATTTATATAAAATGCACAACAAGTTAACTCCGGATTATTTAAACGATTTCCTGCCACCTACTATTGAGGAAAATAACTGTTACACTCTTAGAAATAACAGTGATTATAGAGTTGATTCTCTATTTGGGCTTTCTCTTAAATCTCTCCTTTATACTTTCCACTCTTCGTTGCTGGAATTCGTAAGACCTATCAGTGCGATCGTTGCCTTCTATACATTTATTTAAAAACTCTCTTACTTTAAATGTAAAACCATCCCCTCCTATCTACGTCAGTTTTGGAGAAAGGAAGTTGAATATTATACATACTAAACTGAGGCAAACGTGCAGTTCCCCTTAACTATGACCTTTATCCCTGGACTCACCCTGGACCTAAACAAATCAGTGGCCAAGTGTGTATTTAAGTAGCCAATTTTAACATACTTATTCTGACCTCAGTAATTTTATTACGGCAACGTGCTAATTTTTAAACAAAAAACGTGTGATTCTGCATTGTTTTGTAACAGAAAATCTTCGTGGAAATTTATGGTGTATAATTGCCTGCATTTCAAGTATTGAACTCAGTTCATATCTGCATTCACTGCCTGACTATTCAGTAATTCACATGTTACTAGGAGGCCCAATGACCTATTATGTAAATGAAATTGGTTTAGAAGATTTTGACTAGAATCCGATTATGCGATAAAAAGAATGTTTGACTTATATACATAATTATAATTATTATTAATTTGTCTCACAAATACTTGCCTTTTTAAGGCAAGGAAAATGTAAAAAAAATCGAACATAGGCAAGGTATTATTTAAACCAGTATTATATCACTGATATTTAGCAATATGTATATACGTTTGTGAACTTGTAAGAATGTCACTATTATTGTCATTTTGTAAATAAGGTATTATTCATGTACTATCATTGTATCATGCTCTCAAATTTGGAGGAAATAAAGATGATATATAGATAAAAAATAATATATTGACGCCTTGGCATTTCCTACCGTTTTCATTAAAGAAAATAGTTCTACTACATTCGTATATGTACGCCTATATGTTCACATTGTAAACACATTGAGGACTATTTTATTAAAAAGAACATGCATACATGTTCACAAAATTTGTACATTTAATCGTGGGTCCAGCTTTGATTGGCTGGCGATGTGAATCTATGCTTTTGATTGACAGTGAGAGACGACAAGCACGTGCTGATGTTCTGTTGATATCGTCTATACCACAGGAGAAATTCTACTGTATATCAGATCATTGAAATGTATCACCACTTGTGTTGCTCTTGAAGAATAAAAAAAACATGCATGTAATGTACTTTTTTGTACGGCTTTTGATCGGGTTTCAAGGGGCAGTTTTCTTAAATGATTCTTATTCTCAATTAAGTTTGAACGAAGCATGGGTTCCTCAAGATTCCATTCTTGTGACGCTTTATTTTTAGATAGACCTTAGTGATATTGCCGATGTCTTTGATGGTGGTGCAGTGGATAGCGCACTTGCCTTTCACCAAGGCGACCGGGGTTCGATTCCCCGATCGGACGTGAAAAGGTATAGTGTCACCTATATCCCATCCTCGATATCCAGGGGTTCGCTCCCTGCACCCCTGGAATATGTCATCGCAAAATCGAAGGCTCCATGTGCAGCACCTTTAAGATGAACATCAGAAGAATCTCGCGGTCGCGTAACGGTAACAATTGACAGGCTTTGAAGTCGGGCGTCGCTCCTTTGTAATCTTCAAAGGACAGGTATCAGCTTAGCGATTGGTCAGTAGCATAGTTGCTATGACATATTCCAGGGGTGCAGAGAGCGAAAGTGAGCGTAACCCCTGGATATCGAGGATGCCTATATCCCTAATAACCATTATGTAAAAATAAAATAAAAATTTGGACTTCGGCAATGCTATCCACAGATGCTTGACACCTGTCTATAAACATTTGATTGCAATTCTAGGCCTACTACATGTACAAATATAGGACTACTTGCACAACATCAAATTCGAGTGCTAGCTTTGCTCAAGTACGGATTTGTTCACTGGTAGAGGTCTATCATTAGAATCCCTAGTATTTTAGACTCAAAGCACTTGTAATATGTAATTGTTGACAAAATGATTCCATTTCTTGTGTTTTATAATCTTGAAGTGATTCATACCGTCACATCTTTGGAGGATTCACCAAACACCTTGCGTGGTCGGCTCTTTCGTATTGCGGTCGGTTGCGCGCTGTCCAAACATGTTTTAGCTGCACGGTGTCGTCACACCGGATGTTGATCGATTAGAGGTGCATTGTTAGTTCGGAGAATTGGGCCACATTCATTACAGACTAAAGAAGCTGTTTTTAATACCAAATGGTAAGTATCTTATTTGTAAATAGTCAGTTTAAGATGCATAATATTGCAAACAGCGTAGTATTTAACCTAAATTGAACAGCTTTATGATTAAAGCGTCAAAGCATATGGTCCCTTTTGTGGGGCATTCCAACAAATGGCCTCCCCCCTAATCTTAAGCTAACCATGCCAACTTCGACTTTTGAAACACAATTTTTCGCTTCTAACATTGCAAGCTTGTCGCATGCATTTCGCGTTTTTGATTGTTGGTTATTTAACTTGTATTTTTTGCTGTAGTATGTGAATAAATGTATGTATATTGATGACGAATTAGCCAGAATTATGAACTCATTGGCCAGCCATTGAAATTGTCCGAATCGCCGTTTTATTAACATATTTCCGATGGAAGTTTGACTCGTTGATTGGACATTTTCATCATTCTACATCTCAAAAGTTTCTTATACAAGTAAAACATTAAAACATTATTATGTTAAAACTATTTTATATCCCGATAATATGCTTCGCAGGTAATTTATTAGGCTAATTTAACTGGACATTCGGAACATTTATGTCCAAAATCATTTTGCCCTCAGCTCAAGTACAGCAGGTGGCTTGGCTAACATTTGATATTATCTTTGCATAATAATGGTCTCAATTATCCTGTATAAATTTTGTGGTAGTTTTTTGTAGATTGGTCTTAACCCCCCCCCCCCCCCCCCCCCCCTTTATATTACTAAAACAAAGACCTCCCCATAAGATTTCCTTGTATAACTTTTAATTTTCCCTTTTCATGCTAACAACCCTTAAGGGTGTCTGCCTTTAATTGTTTTATTCCCTATCTTCAGTACAAAAATGATGATTAATGTATGTTTTTATACATCATTCATATTCAATATTACTTCAAAGTAAATCAATAATCCAAAACAATTTAGAACATATCGATCATCTTTTGACCCAAGGGAATTCAAAGGGGCCTTCATATAATCTGGAATGTATGTTAAAAAGCAAAGATTTGTTTTCTCAAACTTACTTCTATTACAATTAATGTTAAACTATTTTGCAAAAGAAAAGTGTTCCCAACCTTTATTTCTATATTTTGAGAGCTGTAACCAGAATAACAATTACTTGTTATGGCGTAGATGTACATATACAAATTGATATATGTGTAACAGGAAAGAGAATAATGTGTTACCACCGGGGATCGAACCAACAATTCCTTGGTTCCTAGTCGGACGCTGTACCACCGAGTTTAAAGGGAAATTCCCTCTAGCTCGAGGCTAGAAGGCGGCCTTAATCCTTAAATGTACAATTAAAATCTGCCACATATGATTATTTGCAGCAATTATTTTTTTCCTTTTAAACACGACTCCACCACTGATATTTTCATTCATTTTTAGCTCACCTGGCACAAAGTGCCAAGTGAGCTTATGCCGTGGCGCTACGGTGTCCGGCGTCAATATTTTATTTTAAACGACTTCTTCTTATTAACCAATAGGTCTAAGGTGATGATATTTGGCCAGAAGCAAACTGGGATGAAGGGCTACAAAGTTTGTTAAAATTAGTGACCTTCGCCCATTTTCAAGGTCACAGGGGTCAAATATGTTAAAAACTTTAAACATCTTCTCGATGACCAAACTGCCCAGGGAGATGATATTTGGCCAGTAGCATGCTTGGGTGAAGGACTACTAAGATTGTTCAAATGAATGACCTTCACCTATATTCAAGGTCACAGGGGTCAAATATGTGAAAAACATTAAACAACTTCTTCTGAATAACCAAAATGCACAGGGTGATGATATTTGGCCAGTAGCATGCTGAGATGAAGGGCTACAAAGTTTGTTCAAATGAATGACCTTCACCCATATTCAAGGTCAGCGGGGTCAAATATGTTAAAAGCTTCAAACAACTTCTTCTGAATAACCAAAAATACCCAGGGTGATGATATTTAGTCAGTAGCATACTAGGATCAAGGGCTACCAAGTTTGTTTAAATGTATGACCTTGAATCATATTCAAGGTCAAAAGGAGCAAATATGTTAAAAATATAAAAAAAAATAAACAACTTGTTCTGAATAACCAAAAGGCTCAGGATGTTGATATTTAGTCAGTAGCATGCTGGGATCAAGGACTACTATGTTTGTTAAAGTGAATGACTTTGACTTATATTCAAGGTCACAGGGGTCAAATTTGTTTAAAATCTTTAAACGACCTCTTCCGAATAACCATGGGTCCCAGGATGTTGATACTTTGCAAGTTGCATCGTGAGATGAAAGGCTAATAAAAATTTTCAACATAATGAATTTGTTCGACTTTTAATCTCAGGGGTGAAATGTTTAAAAAAAAAAAATCTTTTGAATGAATTTTAATCATAAATACTGATATTTTATTTTGCCTGTAGCTTTATTTAAGATCACTTTTAAGGTTACAAGTGTGAAATTTATACCAGGTGAGCGATGCAGGCCCATTGGGCCTCTTGTTATTTTAAAAATAACCATCCCTAAAACTTGAGGTAGAGTCGTCAGATGAAATATAAAAATATTTGAAGCATGGCCATAAGCTGAGTCCAAAAAAAATATTTGTGTTTCAGGTATCCCGACCTACCCTAGATTTTACTGCCGACCCGAGATATTTTATAACCTACTGGTGGGATTCTGACCTTATTTTTTACAAATAAATTGCCATTGTAATCGGTTGAAATGCATTGTAAAATTTGAAATAAAACGTAATATTAGTTCACGAAAATAAAAAATGAACAGTAAAATAAAATTATTTGTCATGCCGACCTACCCTATTTTTTCGGCATATTGCCTGAAACAAACATTTTTTTTTATTTGGCCTGATCTTAAAATTTTGTGGATATTTTTAGAATGGAATATTTTTCTGTTTTCTTATTACCCACCAGCCGAGATACCCTTCATGTCATCTATCAGCGAGCGATCCACAGGTCTGGATCACTGTTGTGATATCACAAAATAATAGAGCAGTGATTGTGTTTTCATAGACTTAAAAGATATGTATGCAAATAAGTTGAGGTTACTACTATTTGGTGACAAAACCTAGCTTTGGATGATCATTGTAATTTATTTATTAGACTTTTTATTAAGTCAAGCGAAAGATTTTGAATTTTTAAGATGTATGTATGCATGTATATATGTAGTTTTTGACTTCCTACCATTACTTGTATTATTAGTAATTGTCTATGTAATCACTTGTTATTGAAATGTTGATAGGAGATGGCTCCATAAGTTGTAATATCTTTTGCCAATATATCCCTTGTACCCATTTTGACAATAAAATATGTCTAAAGTCAGTGAGTAAGAAAAGACTTCACTGATAGCAGCCTCTGTCTTACTGGAGCTGGATTTCTTAGTATCGTAATTATCTTACCTTGTAAATAGATATCCCTGGGATAGAGATACTTGTTCAGGCTGTTTATGATTGATAAATGTCCCCCTACTTCTCCACCCTCAGAAAGTATGGGCATGTTCTTCCACTTGTTCAGGCTATTTATGATTGATAAATGGGCCATTCCAATCCCCCCCCCCCCCCTCAGAAAGTGTGGGCGTGTATTTCCTGCATTTATAAAAATCATTCTTAAAATGAATTCCTACATATTCAGAAAATGAATTTACTATCTTGCATGTACCATATATGAAACAATTTTGCTTAGTACAATTGTATCAATAAATAGAATATATATAATAAGCTCCATTTGTCGTGTGCAAATAATTATTGTCTAAAATACTTAAAATAGTAGTTAATGAAAAACTCTAGTAATTTTTAGAAGAAACTCAAGCATCACCAATATTAAAAGTGGGTTTTAAAGTTTATTTGACCAACTAGTTTCATCTCTAAAGTTGAGGCTTCATCATGCCCTGATTATTTTATTGTTATATATTAAAGATAAGTTGATTCAAATCTTTGCTAAAATATATTAAAGAAAACTTTACCAAGGTTCTTAAACTCTGTCTTTTATTTTCAGATAATATTATCACCGTGGGGACAAGCTCACATCACTAATCCAGATCTGACGACAATTTACTAGGAGACCAGGACTAACAATCCAGTCATGGACATCCCGTCCCTGCATCTCCAGCCAGACAGGCGTATGGCCGACCCACATTCCGTAGCGAATATGTCCGAGGGGAGATTTGGCAATGAACTCAACTCACGAGTTGGGCCGCAGTACTCAGCCCCAAGGATGTCTGATTTAGGAAGTTACCCATTTGTTCCAAACATGACAGATGACAGACTTCGTCAGGATACAAATGTCATGAACAAGAACAATAACCGACCTCCGTCGACCCAGTACTCCGTACAAGTCATGGACAAAGACATGGATTCAAACAGTTCCGACAAATCGGCACATAATCGTGGACATATCCCCAACCCCTATATACCTCCAGGGATGCCAGACACCAGGAAACCATACGAATACAAAGACAGATACAAGCGGAGCGTATATGGTCCGGAATTTTTTCAGGCAGCAACGCAACTTGCAAATTTTGGAATGCATAATCAGACGGAAAAACAGCCTGATGCACATTCACAGAAGTCTAATGAGACCATGGATCCCTATCAGAGGAACTCATATGGTCCCGAGTTCTTTCAGGCAGCTACTCAACTTGCTAATTTTGGCATGCATTCTGCTGAGCGGCCCCAGGAACCAGAAGTTTGTGGTATGGGAGGTATTCAGGGCAGTTTTCTGCAGGGTAATTTTGCGATGCAACCTACGGGCGGAGATAAACAAAACGATAAAGAAATGGACAAGGACCCCAATCGACACAACGCCTATGGCCAGGAGTTCTTCCAAGCTGCAGCACAGCTTGCAAACTTTGGTATGCGGTCAGTGGAAAAACCACCCGAGTTTCAAAACCTTACAGATGTCTGTGGAATGCCGGTGTTCCCCGGAGGTTCCGGTGCGACTCAGCAAGCCCAGAGCTCGGAGTCGGACAAGTCGGATAAAGACAATTATAATCAGACTGACCATCAGTACGGAGCCCACCAGGGAATGGGGAAGAAGAAAATTGCAAAGAAACCGAAAGGGTCAAAGGAAGATGATGGAAAGCCGTACAAGTGTGAGATATGTGGTAAGGGCTTCGGACAGCCACACGACCTGCCCATTCATCTGAAGTCACATACAGGTGAGAAGCCGTACAAGTGTAACGTTTGCTGTAAAGGATTCAAACAAGCTTCCATCCTGAAACGCCACCTCAGAATTCACACTGGCGAAAAGCCGTATGAATGCGATATCTGTGGAAATGGATTCATCAATCGAAACCAACTGCACAAGCATCTGAAGACCCACGAGGGCGAGGAAAAGAAACCATTGAAATGTTATGTCTGCGGTCAGGATTTCAAAAATGAGATCACCAATCTGCAGATCCACTTTCTGACCCACACGGGTGAAAAACCAAACACCTGTGGTGTCTGCGGGAAGCGCTCCAAGGACATGAACAAGCTGCAACGGCACATGATGACCCACACTGGGGAGAAACCATACAACTGCATCGTGTGTAAGAAAGGATTCAACATGCCCTATACCCTACTGACCCACCTTCGTACCCACACCGGGGAGTACGGGTACAAGTGTGACCTCTGTGGTAAGGGCTTCAACCAGACTGGGGACATGCAGCGCCATCGCAGGACTCACACCGGCGAAAAACCATACAAATGTGAGACATGCGGAAAGAGTTTCAATTTGCTGTACAACTTGCAAACTCATCGTAGGATCCACACCGGCGAAAAGCCGTACATCTGCACCACCTGTGGCAAAGGTTTCGCAGACGGAGCCAACCTTTACCGACATAGCAAGACCCACACCCAGGAGAGGTCATACAAGTGTGAAATCTGCAACAAGACCTTCACCTTGGCACAAAGCGTCCAGCGACATCGCAGACTACACACTGGCGAGAAACCCTACAAGTGCGATTTATGCGGCAAGACTTTCAGGCAGAAAGGAAACCTTGGTGTCCACAATAAACGAGTGCACATCAAACAGGCGAGGCTTGCAGCTGAGAAAGAGGCCAGATCTCAACACGATGCCGAGGAGAATGCTGTTGCTTTGGCTAAGGTAAAAGAGGCTAAGGCCAAGTTGAGAGAAGAGAAGGCAAGAATCAGGCTCGAGAAGAGGGAGGCAAAAGCTGTCGCAAAAGCAGCAGCCACTGCTGCCAGGGCGGAAGCCAAAGCTGAGAGGTTGCGAGCAAAACGGGCACGGGAAGAAGAACAGGAAAATGAAGAAGGACAAGAAAATGAAGAAGAACAGGAAAATGAAGATGAACGGGAAGTTGAAGAAGAACCAGAAATTGAAGAAGAAGAGCATTTGGAACCAGAGGCAGAAATGGAACAAGAAGTTGAGGAGGTAGAAAATGAGACTAAATCTGGAGATGAAGAGGAACAGAATAACATGGATGGGTCGGAAAAGTCAGAATCAGAAAAATCTGAGTCGGAAGGTGGTAGTGAAAGTGAGGGAGAGGAATCGGTGGAGGAGCATGAAGACAAAGGGGATTATTCAGGACCAGAGTCGCCCATGGAGTGAAAGGACATCCCTCCACCAAAGTCAGGGAGAGGGAGGAGTTGATGATAAGACACCTACCATTGCCCCATATGAGGCGTAGGTTTGGAAATTGTTGGTGATCGGGCACCCAACAAAACCCAAATGGCTACCATATCAGGAAACAGTCAATTCCTGTCAGCTATATCAGGTCAGTTAGACAAAGATAATGACCTTACCGTCCTCGTTATCTCGGTCAAAAAGGGATGAGGGATAAAGACACGCTCGTAAAGACATCTGCTGAACAACCTGTCTGTATTATAGTGGACCTATTCAACTCATTCATCCCTGAAGACCCATTTAAACTCTTCAAGTTCAAAGGTTGGAATAGTTCATTAGGAAATTTCAGGGGTGGATAAGTTAACCCTATCACCCCTATGCAACTTGAGTGAACTCTACCATGCATTAATCTGGAAGAGTCCATTATGGTCTACAGACAGTACAGTGGTAAAAGGGTTAAGGCATGGAATCATTATATACAGGTAATGGTTTTTGCCTTGTGTGACGAGAAACCGGTCGGTGGATTAGGGAGAACTTTAACACAGGTAGAATACGCCTCTGTAAAGAACAGACTTTACAGAGTCACTGTTTTAGATCTTATGACTTGTTTGCATTTATTATTTGTTCAAGGTATTAATTTCTAGACAAAACAGTTTTTCCAGTTGAGGTTTTGTGTGAATGTTTAGTCCACTAACCCTGTGGTATTCAAAGTAGAAATATATGTAGAATTATTGTGGACGAAGGAATGAGAGGACATTTTTCACAAAAAATATGTTTACAAGTGTGGAATCAGTGAGGTGAGGATATAACACTCTTATTACTTCCAGACCCAATACACTTTGAATGATGCTGTGTTTAGCTTTCCCTGTTTTACCTATATTTCATCTTCATGATAACTTCACAATGTCACTTCCCTCATTTTACTGTCAAGAAATCAGATGCAAGAAATGCTTGGTTCTTATTTCGAAACCAAACTTTGAAAATATGTGGTGGTTTAATTTCGTGGATGTTCTGCTGATGTTATAATCACAGCCAGATACAAGTTTTTAACCCTTTCACCCCCAGGTAAACAAGTAGACTCTTCCATACATTGATCTGGATGAGTCCATTATGGTCTACAGTGGTGAAAGGATTAAACCCATAAAAACACAAATGCTTTGAAAGAGCTAAACACAAAGCCTATGAAACCTTCCAACTGATGAAGCTAGTTGAGACCATATAAAAAGAAATTCTAAACATTCGATTAAAATGGACGGTTGTTCACAAGGTATTTTGTGTGTCTACATTATCACTCAAAATATATTTGCTTTCCTGATTTTTCGTTATTTGTGGTTTAAAACAAATCAAATGTCCGCGATAAACTGACCAACCAACCTGCAAAAATTGGTCTTGCTCAAACAAATTCTGTTGTCAATTTCTTTTTTCGAAATTTCTGAAAAGTAAAACAACTGTATAGATATAGAATATTTTGTATTGGTGATACAGTATTAAATAGACATGTCCAACACTGCAACGTAAGAAATAAAAGACTGAAATAGTAAATTTTACATATACAATATGAACGTTATTTCTAGAAAACTATTTTTTTCCTGAATGCAAGATTCAAGACATTTCCTCGTGCAATCTACGTATACCCTATCTAAAGAGACATTAGTCCGAAATTGGTAAATGGTGTATTGTTATGAGAGTACCTAAATAGTTGTATGTGTTTATCGTCGCAGAAACAACAATTGAACAGATCCGGTTGGATTGTTGCCTGCGTAACGTTTTGTTCAATGAAATTCAGCAATAACCTTTGTTATAGGTAGAATGTGTGTATGATACTTAACCGGGTTTAAACAAATTCACCTCTGAAATTTCATAATGAACTATTCCAACCTTTGAATTGGAAGAGTTCAAATGTGTCTTCAGGGGCAAAGGAGTTAAACCCCCTTGACTGCTTACAGATGTTTTTTGTTCAGTATGTGTAACAATTTTATTTGGAAAAGTGAATTAATAAGTGTATGATATGATTTTATATATATATATATCGAGAGTGTACAAATATATCAAATATATAGAAGTTTTATGTTATGATTTTGATATAGAAAAAATAATTGTATATATATCATTACTTGTATAATACTGTTTACAAAAACCACATACTTTTGTTGATGCTAGTTCAAATTGTACAAGTTATTATTTGAACATACATTGTTTTGTTCTCCTCTGCCACATGCACTGCGTTGATGAGAAATGGTTATAAGACAATGACTTCGCATTTTGGGGGCAATTTTACACAAGTTTTGTTGAAAATATTCCAATATTTTTTTTACATTTAGGAGAAAAAAGAAATTGCATTTCAACATTCTGAGATTAATAAGAACCAGATTCTGAAAAAGGTTCATTGCGAAAAATAAATAAAAAATCTGAATGTGAGAGCCCAAAAAGTCTATCTAGGAGGAAATATGTCACAGGATTTTCATCATAACATTATGTATCATGAAATGAACTTCATTATGATAGATAATAGGCTTTTGTTTTGAGTATATTGTTGAATACGTTTCATCACATATGTAAGTATATACATATCTACAAATACAATTTCACATCTGTATATTCCATTTTCAAAAGACAGATTCTTTAAACTGTACAAATTGCTTCTATTCTGTATAGTGTTATAAAAGGTGTTGCTTACAATTTTTTTTTTAATTTAACAACCTTGAAATATTTTTAAAACAGTTTCATTAAAGATATTTCTATGTATTTCAGTTTAGAATTTGAATTAATTAAAATAATTTCCCTTTTTTTCTAAAGTGCCATTATTTGATGGAGAAAAAAAATGTTACAAGGGAGGTAACTTGTATAGTTAGAAGTAAACTGTATTTCCTGACCAGAAGCTCTAACCCTTTCACCCCTAGGTAACTTGAGTAGACTCTACCGTACGTTCAACTGGATGAGTCCATTATCGTATACAGTGGTGAAAGGGTTAACTTGCTTGTGTGGAGATGTTCAAAGTCAGATGTGAATCTAGTTTAAAAAATACTTTTGTATATATTTTTTCATTCAATAATAATCATGAAAAAATGATTGTTTTCTTAAACCGTAACTGCCTCTGATTTTGGGGAAAATGTTTTGTTTTGTTTTTAATCATAGCCCAATTCAAAGATTTGAAATGTATTATAGTGCAAATTATCTAGCATGTTATTGTACAATTGTGTATCACAAGCTCCATATCGCACAAATACATGTAGAGGAAAAAAATATAGGTGGATTTGAGATTTTACTATTATGATAGAAATTGAAATGATCGTTGTGTGTTAATAAATTGAATATGTAAGTAATATGTAATGAAATCAAGATTATATATCATTATGTTGTATAATATTTAGTATTAGTCATGTTTGTCAAATAACCATTTTTATATATCTAGAATATCATTTACAGTTGCTGGTTATTTTTTTACGTTTCTGCCATAGTGACTGCTTAGTTTTCAAAGTAAAACGCAGAAATATATACCCCTTTGATACAAGTAATTTTATTTCAATTTTGGGAAAGATTTTGATAGAGAAAGAGATATAGCTATCATTTTGGGCAGCTGAAGTTTTGCCCCTGATAATGCAGGAAAGGAAAATACCACAGCACTGCTTTGTGTGAAAAACATAAATTATTCATAAAAATGTTAGTTTTAACTGCCATCTTTCAATTATGTGAAGAAACCGAAATTAAGAACTATTCATCAGTTAATTTGCTTAGCACAATGATAGTGCTCACAGATTTTATTTTGAAATATTTGATTTTCTTTGATTAGATTTTACGTTTATCCAAACATTCTGTTATGAACATTTCAAAATAAATGATAAAAGCATCAATTTACATAGAAAAGGTATTCAATGTTGTATTCTTATTAAATAATGAGAAGTAGCATTATTGAAGGTCTTTATTAGACAATAACAGTCTACAGGTAGATGTAGATGTTTGTTAAAAACCGATCACAGGCAATTTGTCATTGGCTTATTAATACTTTGTTGTACATAATGTTATGTAAGTCTGTAAATTTCTAGAGAAATTATTAATGAAAGGGGGAAATATTATTCTTCAAAAAGTCATCGATAGATTTCAGTAATTTTATATACTTCATGGTTTTTTTTGACACATTTTGAATTTGATCATTGCTGTTAATTTTGCAATCACTTACCAGGTAAGTTATTATACATTTGATTGATATATTTGAGCTGTAGCATCATTTGAGCTTTGGTTTAAATTTTGAAATTACTCTGGGTCCAATATCTTTGGGGGAAAAAAACCTGATGATGCCCTGACGAGATGATAACTTTGAAGCCCCTAGGGTGTTTTATAGGGTGATTATGGTATCTTTTATAATCGTTTAATGTTTCTTTGATGGGTCGAGTTTATAAAAATTGTTAATGATGTTACCGCAAGTAAATTTGCTGGAAGTGCTACAAATGATTGTCACGAAGTGATTTCATATAAATATTTGGCAAAGGCACGAATCATGTAATATTTTACAACAGTTAAATATACAGCAGTTTCCTTTTTTTATTGAAAAAGTTGTTAAAAATGTTATAACAACAGTTTAAAATAATTTCGGAGAAATCACAAAATTATTGGATAATTAAAATATTCGGACCTCTTAAGGGACAGAATTTAGGAATTTCAAAACAGTAATTATTGGAATTCAAATTTGTGTTTCATTTAGAAGTGAATATGATTGACCTGGGAATGTGGCTTAAATATCTGCAGTCTTGTTCCGTCTTTGCGTTTTTGCAGAGTTATCTTCTCTTGTGAGCAGGTATTGATTGTTATGTCATTGGTTTGTGTGAGAAAATTACGTCGTTTTCTCAAAAATTGATGACGTTACTCTCACCAACAAATGACGTTACAATTAATACTTGCTCACAAGAAAAGATAACTCTGCAATACGAAAAAGACGGAATGTACTGTGAACGGCTTGAAGGTTTTTATTTTCTGTTTGTGTAGACACATATAGCAATAACCTGTTTTTTACGTGATTTTTTTTTTGGTTTACTTGATGTAGATTTAGAATCATATTGCTTTTTAATGATTGTTTATGTTAGGTAGATTTTTTTTATGATTTTGCTTTGAAATTTTGGAGTTTTAAAGTGTTATCTTGGAATAAGAACGGTGAATTATTGTCCGATTGTATTTCTCACCTGTTTGAATTTTGTACCAGTTGTTAAGAGATATTGGACAGTGTTTGAGTTGACTTCAGATGAATATCAGCTGATTAATTCAAGGTTATCATAATTTTGTGTCTTTCCTGAAGAGTTTATTACATTCAATTTAGGATTTCTTTTCCAAAGATAAAGTTGCTGTACCATATAATGGTA